TGTCCCAAAGTTCCCTTAGTCTTTCCTCCTGTTTTTTAAGGTTTTTTTTTTTCCAGTTGCTGCTCTGCTTGGGTATTTTTTCCTACCTTGTTTTCTAGCTCACTGATTCTCTGCTTCTTCTAATCTACTATTGATTCTTTCTATTGTGCTCTTCATTGAAGTAATTTCATTTTTCATTTCTTTTTGGTTCCTCATTTCCTCTTGGTTCTTACACATATTACTGAATTTGTCTTCCATCCTTTTCAGTGTCCTTATGGTCATTGCTCTGAATTCTCTCTCTGACAAATATGCCTCCATTTCGTTTACTTCCTTTCTGGTGATTCCTTCTTTTTTTTTGTATGGGGCTGTTTCTTTGTCTATTCATATTTGCTATTCTCAGGGTGTCTGATTATGTAGCTCTCTTTCTTTTGCATTGACTTAAAGACACAAAATACAACACAACAAGACACAATGCACAGGGCACCAAATACAAATGTATTCACAATACCAATAATCCCAAACAAAGGTGACCACCAAAGAAAAGAGAATTAGGGGAGAGAAAATATTGCAAAAATAATACTGAGAAAAGAAAGAAATGCAAGAGAGAAAAGAAAGAGAAGAAAAAAGAAGGGGGGAAAAATATATGTATATGGGGGAAAAACTTCAAAAAAGCAATAGCTAATCCAAAAAATGCAAACAACAAATACCCTAACAACAAACACACTGCTGAATCTTAGGAGGCAGAACTTATTTCCAGAAGGTAAGGTCAGAGAATCGAATGAATGGGAAAATGTCCACGATTCAGTATAGAGGAGGAGAAAGAGAATGAGTGTATAAGAAGGAAAGTAAAAAACAAAATACTAGTACCAAAAAAGAAAAAAAAAAGAAAAAAAAAAAAAAATATATATATATATATATATATATATATATATATATATATGTAAAAGAAAATTTATATATTAAAAAAACTCCCCTTTCTTTAATCTGTCTATACACTGAGTGGCCAGATTATTATGATCTCTGAATGCATAATAATCTGGCCACTCAGTGTATATCCTATATAATAAAAGGCTAATATGCAAATTGTCCCCTCTACCAGGAGTTCAACCAGCAGGCAGGCCGGCCAACTGCCCATGTCCCCTCTCTCTAGCTAGGCTGGCTGGACCCCAGCCATGCACGAATTCATGCATCGTACCTCTAATGTATGTATACACACACACACACACACACACACTGAGTGGCCAGAGTATTATGCATTCAGGGATCATAATAATCTGGCCACTCGGTGTATATTCATTTATTATTGGAAAAGGAGAATAGAGAGTAGATAGGCCAGAGTTAGTGATTGGAATTAATTAAGCTATTAGTAGAAGAAGAAAACAAGCAAGGAGAAGAAAAACAGAAGCAAACAGAAGGGGGGAGGGGGCCGGGGGAGGAATCACAACAAGACAGAAAAAGGAAAAAGGAAAAATATTTGGCTAGTGAAGAAAGATAAGAGAGAAATATGCATGGACTTGAAGCATGGGAGAGGAAATTAGATATGTGAGTAAGATCAGTTTTAAAACAGGAGTAAAAAGAAAGTATAGAGAAAAACTAAAGCAGAGACAGAGTAAGAGAAACAGGATGAAAAAGGGGGAAAGTAAGGAAGAAAGTGTTGGCATAAAGGAAAAAATTGAGATAGAGTAAAATAATGCTAAAATAAAAATAAAAATAGAATGTAGAACACTGATCCCAAAATAAAATAAAATAAAAAATAAAACTTTTTTAAAAGGTAAAATAATAGCAGTAATAATTTAAAAGGTGAAATCAAGTGAGAAAAAAATAGTTTCTTAAGTAAAAGGTAAATAAAAAAGTTAAGTAGTGAAGGTTATTCACTTCCTCTACTGTTCTGCCTGGCATGTACGTTTCTTGTCAAGTAGTCAGCACAGTGTTGAAATTCCCTGCGATCCATTGCTCCTGTGTGTCATAAGCCACAACCTTGTTTTCAAGCAGCGGGATCTCTCTGCTCACTTTGTTTCTCTATCTGCCTTCAGTTATATTTACACAAGTGTCAATTTCTAACACAACCCTTGGGTGGCAGTGTTTCTGTATTAATTTCCAAGACCAAATAGCTCTTCAGCCCAGTGTATAAACTCTTCTTTCCCTGCTGCACTTAATACTGGGTTGAAAGGATGTACTGATCCAGAGCTTGTTTCCTGCTCATCTCTCCTTATTCCAATCCCCAGTTTCTACAGAAACAACTTCCCCTGTAGTCTCGGTGAGTGTTTTTAATTAGAAGATACTGTGTACTGGGCTTAGTAAGCAAAAGCAAGGTAGTAAAAAAGACAAAGGAACCATGCCAACACGCATCTTTCTCCCCAAAGCACTGTGTGCCTAGTAAAGAATTTCAGTCTGCCTTTCTGGGGCTTATATCTAGAGTCCCCCTCTGCCAGAAACCCTGTGGACCCCCTTCCACATTTAAGGGTACACTGACCCCAAGGGCCATGGATTTAGTGGAGCGCAGTCTCCCTCTGAGACTCTAGTCCTCGCTGCACTCGTTTCTCCCTCCAACCCAGAGATCAGATCTTACCTCTCTCCAGGGGATCTCTGACTTTTCTGTTCAAGGATTGCTTCACCAGCTGTGTTTAATTTGCCAATTCCAGGTGGGTGTTATCTGATTCAGCTGTTCCTTCTATATGCTCTGTGAGAAGGCTCAGGGCCCATAAGCGTATTCAGCAATGCTTTGTCTCCCCCTGGACAAACTTTTTAGGTGCCCATGGCCGCAGAGGCTGGAGTCTCTGTGTTCATGGGTTTGCAGCCGAGGCAGCTGGTCCCTGGGTATTGTGGTTTCAGGTCCCGGGAGGTATCCAAGGTCTCCCCGGTTGAAGGTAAGGCTGGGCTTCCCATCACAGCCGCTCTTCCCTTTAATATGGTGCCATCTCTGCTGCAGAACTGGCTACTCCGAGAGAGATTTCAGCAGTAGTAGAGGCTGCCTGGCTAAGGGAACCTGGTCCACCAGTCCCCAACAGTCCTGTGGAATATAGCTGTTCCTTACTCACAAATACACATGTCCACACATTCTCCTTTCACTCACTCACACACTGTCTTGCAACTTGCTGGCCTGTCAGCCACCATCATGGATCCAATTTCTTACTATTTGTACCAGTCAATAATACGGATTTTTTTTCAATAGACAGAGTTACCCATATGTTGATATATATATATATATATATATATATATATATATATATATATATATATATATATATACACGATTTGATATGTATGCTATTTTGTTAACAGCTAGCTTCAAAACTTCGTATGTCAAATTTGTTGAAGGTGTTAACATCATAAATATTTTTATGCTTAAAAAGGTTGAATTTCGCCCTAACCAGTTTGGCTCAGTGGATAGAGTGTCGGCTTCATGATAACGCACCATCATACAACTTCAAAACCAGTTAAAGACGCGTTAAAACATCTCAGCCACCCGCCGTATTCACTAGACCTTGCTCCTTCACATTACCACTTGTTGCCAATGGATGGCACATGTACTTTCTGAGCAGCACTTCAAAACGTATGAAAAAGTGGAAAATTGAGTCTCTGAATGGTTTGCCTCAAAACAAGAAAAGTTCTATTGGGACGATATCCACAAATTACCTGAAAGATGGGGAAAATGTGTAGCTAGCAATGGACATTACTTTGAATAAAGCACTTTTGATGTTTCTCTTGAAATTATCATGTTTTCTTTGATTTCAAAATCAGCCATTATTAACCGGTACACCTTGTATTTCTAAATGCAAGATTTTAAAAACTCTAATTTTACTCGAAACTTAATGTCCATTGTTTTTCTTGAAGTGACTGGCTTACTTCATTCACTTACTAGAAAATGTCTGCCAAATGCTTAAGTCCAGATAACTGGCTTGTCAGTCGCTTTGAACTAACATTGGTGTTCATGAAACAAGTGACAGTACAGTTCACAACACGGGCTGCCCCAGGTGTCTGGTGGGAACAGTTCTCCCACCTTGGTATACAGCAGCAATCCTGTGTGCATACTTTCCACTTTATCATATAGAATATTTAAAAGTTGTGTAATCAAGATCCAGATTTAATAAAATAATTTTTACTATTTCATAAAGAATGATCTTAAACTGACTGCTTTTAAACTGCAAGTGTGTATCAGTGAGCGATTTTACAGTTTGGTGCCACTACCTTCACCTATGCTTGGGCTCTAGCAGTTTTACCCACTGTTGCTTTTGTACCATTAGTGTAAGGGCAAAAATACTGTAGTATGATTATCAAAAGACTTTAATCTATCAGATATCCTGCAAGGGGTCCATGGATCACTATATTACCGTGTTTCCCCGAAAATAAGACATCCTCTAAAAATAAGACCTACTTACAGTTTCCTTCTGAGTGAAATATAAGGCATCCCCCCGAAAAGAAGCCCCCCCCCCCCAGGCTAAACATGAGAGATTTGGTCCACTGATTCTGAAAGAAATGGAGTCACAAGAAATTCACCAGGAAATTCAGGAATTAGATTGTTATGATGATGTTCCAGAAGGTGATGACATGATTGTCATTGAATAAATGAATAAATTCTTGATATTGTAAGATTCACAGTTTGTCTGGTTTGTGTTGACAACTACCATACTACCATACCGTATACAGGTAATAAATTTCCTTCATTTTCATTTAACAATAAATTTGTACAGTATTCTTCTTCATGGAAAAATAAGACATCCCCTGAAAATAAGACCTAGCGCATCTTTGGGAGCAAAAATTAATATAAGACACTATCTTATTTTCGGGGAAACAGGGTAGAGGCCCACTAAACTAGGAGGTTAATTTTCTAAAGCCAAATGTAATATTTCCTCTGGCCTCTTGGATGCCCTGCTTTCTCCCTCCTTCCATCTTGTTCCGGGGCCTTCTTAGTGCCAGATTGCTGCACTGGGTCTGGGTGTATCCCTCACTAAGTATATCCCTTCATGCGGTTTGGTTGGAGCAAGCTTAACTACACACCTGACACTGCCCTCTCCCCTCAGCTCTGAACCATCACATTCACTCAATGAAGACGGCCTCCGTTGGAACCTTAGGAAGGAGCAGGCCTCCCATGCCCGTGGTGGTTCCCAGTGCCCCCGAAGTGCAGGAGACCACGAGGATGCTGGAAGACTCCGAAAGTGTAAGTTCATGGGACCAACAGCCCGGCCAGCTTTCCAGGAGCATGTCCCAGGACATGAGTGTGCAGGTCCTACTGATGCTGTGCTGGGCCAGAGTTTGAAGCAGGTTCTCTCATTCACTCTGTAGACATGCTTAATGGAGCATCTCTCTGAGCCAGGAACTGTGTGGAAGCTTAGATCTGCTTTCTCTTACACTCACTCTGATGTATCTTGGATTAGCTTATCTTACCAGCCTAGCTAGTGATTTTTTTTTCTCCCCAACCCACCACCCTCCTTTTTTTAATCTACTCTCTCTCTCTGGTCCTCTTTTCTTGGTTTAAGTCATCCACGTGTTCTTTCACCCTTCAGTCCTACTTCCTGACCTTTTCTGGGCAAGATGATAGAGGGGAAGATTCCTAAGTGGATACTTTCACACGAAAAATAAACGGGCTCCCTAGCTGGTTTGGCTTAGTGAATAGAGCCTGCAGACTGAAGGGTTCTGGTTTGATTGCAGTCATGGGCACATGCCCAGGTTGTGCGCTCATCCCCAGTAGGGGGCATGCAGGAGGCAGCCCATTAGTGATTCTCTCTCAACATTGACGTTTCTCTCTCTCTCTCTCTCTCTCTCTCTCTCTCTCTCTCTCTCTCTCTCTCTCTCTCTCTCTCTCTTCCTCTGAAATCAATAAAAATCAACAGGACTTCTCCTTGCTTTTTCTCTCTTGCATTCCAGTAAATATGTCTGAGACTGCATTTCCAACTATAGGACTCTTTAAGAGGAAAGCTCAGAGCCCAGAGATTATGGGACAAATTGATTGTGACAGAGACCTAGATAAACTGAGAAGATTGTTACTCTGGACAGAGTATGTTGGAGGAGAGGCATGTTGCATTGTGAAGAAATGAGTGGCTGCTGGCTTGGGGGCTGAGTGGCCTTGGCACCTCCTTCAGTCTGGTTCCTCTGGGCCAGCAGGGTTTCCATTGTCTAGTCTCTCTGGGGAACTTTACAGACCCTCAGGCCCTCTCTGGGCTCGTCTTCTGGATGGTTCCTCCGGTCCGGTCGCACCCAGTAACAGTGTTCTCTTTTCCTTAGAGCTATGAACCAGATGAGCTAACCAAAGAGATGGCCCACCTGGAAGGACTAATGAAGGACCTCAACGCCATCACGACAGCATGACGTCCTTCACCAGGACGTGACTCCAGAACTGAGTCTAGAAGTCTTGGGACTCAGCTTGGGAACAAGGAATTGTACAGAGGATGAGAGACAGCACTTGAGAACACAGTGTGAACACGCAAACAAGCCTGCATCTGCATGGGGCTACTTCTGGTCAGCCCAGAAGAAGCCCATGTTGAGGCAGCTTCCCTTTACCTACTGGTACACTGCAGGATCGGGCACCATGGGCCAAAGTTTTGTGTCTAGGGAAGAGGCAAGAAACCTAGCCTCCCTTTTACTTTGTGGTCAGGCTGTGTCTTCGTGCTATGACTGCATCGCCTTTACAGAGTGTAGACATTGGCATTTATGTACAGTTTTATTTGCGTCCTATTTTACCTTCAGAAGAAAAACACTATTAAACCAAGGAAGTCGTGGTCTTCTTCACAAGTGATTGACATTTGACTTGTCTGAATTATGTATGGAAAGTCATCGACAGCGTGGGTTGTTCCAGGGGTAGGCTTGTTTTTTTGTTTTTATTTTTTAATTATGAGTTTGCATCCCCTACCAGCTGTTAACCCATCACTTTGAGGGGGGAAGAAATGTTGCATTGCTGTTTGTAAGCTTTTTTATTATTTTTTTAATTATAATTATTGAAGGTCTGACTTTCTCCTCTCATCACTGTGAGACTTCAGATCTATTTGAATCATATGTAATATTGAAAGGACTTATTTGTTGCTTCTGTGCAGTTTCAGTATTGGGGTGGGAGGGAGGGTTGGGAATAGGAATTGGAGTGGCTGCTGAGTTCCTGTGAGTGTTTCCATTGTACTTTTTTCAAGAAGCCTGCGGAGAATGGAAGCATCGTTATTGTCCTTTCCTGGCACGTCCATCTTTATTGTCACTAAATTGCAACTGGAGTTTCATGTGGACTAGTTAAAAATTTCTTCTGTGCAATAGGTGGGTTTAAGGATTTAGCTGCCCTGTGTCTTGGTCAGATCCTGATGAGAGTGCCCATACTGAGCAGTCAGGTACTGTATTCCCACTTGCAGGGGTATTGCAGACAGGGCAGCCCTGCTCCTGGGCAGTCAGAGAACAGGGTGAGCCTTTTTCCTGCTTTTGTCATCTGTTCCCACTGGGAAAGTTGAGGTTTAAGGAAGGAACTTTGTTTCCTCTTAGGACTCCTTGCATCTCTCCAGTTCCTGTCTTCAGCCAGCCCAGCTCTCCCTTCCATGTTGCAGTGGCTGCTTTACCCCTGAGGTTCCCACTTCCTTCTGAATGTGGTTCTTAAGTAGCATTGGATAGGGACAGTGGTGAGGGGCACAGGAGGCAGCTTTCCCTCCTTCATCTAGCAGCTCAGCTAAGCTGGTTAGAATGGGCAGCAGAAGGTTTCTGAGGTACAGTGAATGGCCTGGCCACTCACAGAAGCCTTTGTCTTTGCAAATAATTCATTTTTTTTTTTTTCTTAAAAAAGTAAGGACCTGAGTTTTTTGTTGTTGTTGTTTTGTTTTGTTTTTTATATTAAGAATATATTATGAAAAAATACAGGAAAGCCCTTCAGGCATTTCCCCCAAGAGAATGTGGAAGGCAGTAGAGAACAGCAGTTGCCAACCGGTGGTCCATGGGGTCTGAAAGGGCGACCACTGCTCTAGCCGATGAACTCTTTGTATTTATTATTTTGGGGCAATGAAAAGTGCAGTGCTGGGACTCCTGCTGCCGCGCCCCTGTTCACAGATGGTACTACCAGGCAGGGTTCTGCGAAGCCAGTGCACTTAAACTGACCCTGAAAAGAGCACTCACCAGGCAGCTGATTCCCTAGGAACTGGCTCACCTTCGCCCAAAGAAACATGCTCGGTGTTCAGGGCATTTCTTCTCATGAATCTTAACACCTGTTACCTCAGGGCCTTGGTACCTGGACACTGCCACCAAGCTGGGGTGGGTGGGGGACTATTTTTAAATAAAGTAACTGCTCAAAGTTGGGAATTTTTTAAAATTAAGAAAAAGGAAGCTATTCTGAATTGCACCTTTTCACAATTTAATACATTTTCTTACATTTCCTGTGGTTTTTTAAACGAAGCCATTGTATGTGTTATAATGTCGTAGGTGAGCAGCTGCTCAGCAGCTTTTTTCAGGAGCATCTGGAACAGATGTGTCTGCGCCTTGTTGCCTGCAGGGCCCTCAAGGGCTGCTGGGACTACTTGCTGTACACACTTGTTTGGCCTTTTCTGTAGTTGATGCTGTAAACTCTATGGCTTTTTAAAAAACAATTTCATGTTTTTATTTAGTATTGGAAATCCAATACACTTTTTTAATCCATTCAAACTCTGGTCTAAGTGTTATTTTCCTTTTTTCCTTAAGAAAACAACTTGGGGTCCCCTGTTTCCCAGCCTCAAATTGACTTCACCATTTCCCTCACAACTATAAAGGCAGAAGTTCTCAGGACACCGTTGAGGTGTGGCCAGAGAGCCAGGAGACTGCAGGCAGAGGTTTCCCATTAGCCCTGAAGATGAGTCCTGTCCCCACCTCTCACTGCTGCCCAGCAGGGACTGAGCAGCCTGAGGAACCACAGATGACTTCTGTCAGAAAACCCAGCAGAAAAGTGCACCTGCTGAAGGGTGTGTGGGCCTAGTCTGTGGCAGTGCCCTGGGCAGCAGCTGAGCCAGTTGGCACATGACAGAGCACCCACAGTAGGCCTGGGCCTTCCCACTCCCAACCCTCCTCTCTTGGGTGTATGACACCTAGAGCAGTTATCTACAAGGAGTCCCAACTTTTCCCAGGCTGCCTAGCCTCACACATTTGCTTTGTGCCTTAGCTCAAGCTACTATAACAAAAATACATTGACTTAATTAGCAAACATCTATTTCTCAAAATTCTGGAGTTGGGGAAGCTCAGGGTACCAGAGTTTTGCTGGTGTCTGCTTCCTGGTCCATCCTATCTAATAAAAGTATAATATGCAAATTGACCATACCTCCGCTACACCCACCAGCCAATCAGGAGCGAATACGTAAATAAACCCAACCAAGATGGCTGTGGCCACAGAGAGCAAGAGGGAGGCTTGGGTTTCCCTGGCAATGGAGGAGGCCAAGCTTTCTGCCTGCCCTTGCCAGCACAGGCCTCCACTCAATGCTACAAAGTTTCAATGACAGAAAAGTAAGTCCCAACAAAAATGATGGCAGCCACAGAGCTGGAAAGAGCAGGAGATGGAGCTTTCCACCTGCCCTGGCCTGCTTTGGCCTCCTCTCAAGGCTATAAAATTTCAATTATAGAAGATAAATAAGTCCCAGATACCAGGGCCTCCACTTGGATTGCCAGGGGAAGTGGCCAGCCTGCAAAACAACACAGGATCCTTGCTCAGGCCACCCTATGCCCCAAGGGAGCCCCCACCCTGATCCAGGACACCCTTTATGGCAAACCATCTAGCCCCCACCCGTGCGCCAGGTCTCTATCTAATCCTACCTAATGAATAATATGGAGTCGGAATAGACAGTTTTGTCCTGAGCCTCATCCTGGAGCAGAGCGGATAGAGGGAGCAACTGAAACTATTGGAATTCAGCCCAAATTTGGCGAGGAGATGCAGCTGGTAAGATAGTTTGCACCCAGAAAGGGCAGAAGTCCCTGGAAATAAGGTAAAATCAAGGATCTAAGTGGGAGTATCTGCCTAGCTTCTGTGTCCAAAGAGGCAGGGGGAATCTACAGGGTGCTGGGCCACATCCCTGATGACAGGCTAAGCATCAGTCTGTGAGAAAATAAAAGGGGGGGAAACCAAGGGACTGCGGGAGGTTGGGGATTTTGGACCTTGGAGTCTGGATGTTAGCTCTGAGCAAACTCTGAAAGGTTAGCTGGATCGTGCAGTGCCAGCAAGAGATAAGCTCTCAGGGATGCAGTCCCTCCTCACACTGCGGCCTGTGCCTCCTCCCACTGAATCTGGTTCATGGGACCTTTTGGATACACTTACCCGTGGCTGAAGTGCAGGAGAAGGTGTGGGCTTGTGGAATCAGGTAAGAGTGGGTGGTGATCTAGGGGAGGTGGTGGTGGGTTTGTTGCTGAGTCATCTAAGCCCAGTTGCCATTTTCTCCTGAGAGAGGGCCCTGCCCTCGGGTCTCCAGGCAAACAACATAGCCACACCCAAATCACACCTTGAGTAAAACAAGGAATCTGAATACTCCCTGAGGATATAGGAAGGGCCTAAAGACTAATCTTTAGCCCCAGCAACCAGGAAACTGACAAACAGAACTGTACAGACAAATGGAATCATAAGCCAGCCAAAGGAAGACACTCTACTTTTTTTTCACTTTTTTAATTTTTCCCTTTTTTCTTCCTTCCTGCTTACCTACCTATCTTCCTTCCTTCCTTCCTTCCTTCCTTCCTTCCTCCCTTCCTTCCTTCCTTCCTTCTTTCCTTTCTTCCTTCTTTCTTTCTCTTTCTTTCATTCTTTCTTCTTTTCTTCTTTTCTTCTTTGTTTTGCTGTTCTGGTTTGTTGCTTTTATTCCTGTTTGCATTATTTCTCATCACTATTTTTTATTTGCTATTTTTAATTTTTTATACCATTTTTGCAATCAATTTCTTTTTGTAAATTTATCATTTTTTCTTCTCATTCTCTTTCCTTTCATTCACTTGTTCCCTTTCTACTTTCTCAATACTAAATTGAGGTCCTCCCCATATTCATCCAATTCTCAGTCTTATTTTCACTATATAAGTTTAGCCTCTACAAATTCTGCTCCAATCCTCTTATTCTTTTGTCTTTTATCCCATATCTTTTTCTCTCTCTTCCATAGCATTTGTGCTCTTTTCGCTGTCCTATATCTCTTTTCTCAGGGGGTCACTTACACTTGGGTTTTTGGTGTGAGTACATCTGTGTTTAGTTCCCTCGATGTTGAGTCTTGTTGAGGTAAATTTTATCCGATCAGGCCAAGGAGCTTGAGAGCAAGCCACATAACCAGACACCTGGAGAGGAAATTTCATCCACAAAAGGGTCAACAGCACCCCAGAAACAACTACAGAGGCAGGAAGAACGTGACAGTGAGTAAAAGAGCATGAGTGAATGAGGGAGTAAAAGAAGAGCGTGTGGTCAGGTGGGGTATATGTGTGTAAGTGAGTGAGTGAGGAACAGTTAGATCCCACAAGACCTTCAGGGGCAGGCTGATCAGGCTCGCCTAACTAGGAGGCTTCTGCCACAATCGCAAACAGTACCAGAAGGCCAGCTTATCCTAAGGGGCCTCGCCTTTTTTGAAGGGGAGAGCTGCTGTAACTGGGTTCCCAACCTCAACTCCAACCAGAGTGCCCTCAGATGACACCTGGGACTCTACATCCACCCCTGCCAGGGCCACACTACCTAGGCTGAGATCCCATGGTCAACGAAGCTCCAGCTGCCCAGGGCACAGGCTCCTACGAGTTTGGAAGCAGGTTGCCCTCTGACCGGCCCAACGCTTTAGCCCAGGGCACTGCAACCACGTGAACAGCAGACATGTGAGCAGCCTGCTCCTGTCCAAGGAACAGCAGACCCCTGAGGAACCTGCCACAGGCCTAAGAACAGCAGCTTCATGTGGCCTGCCCCTGTCAAAGGAGCAGCAGCTGAGGGAGCAGTAGGTTCATCAGCAACCTCATAATCAGCCCAACCCCGTCCAACGAACAGAAGTTATATGAGCAGCCTCCCCCACCAGCCAGAGGAGGCACCCACCAGA